AGGAGAGGAGAGGAGAGGAGAGGAGAGGAGAGGAGAGGAGAGGAGAGGAGAGGAGAGGAGAGGAGAGGAACCGGACCCAAAATGCCTGAGGCTGCCAGGGGATGTTACCTGGAAAACCCCATGTCTGAAGCCAACAGTATCACTCTAGCTTTTTGGCTTCAAATAGCTGATAATCTGGAAATAAGCAACCAGGCTCAGTGCTCTGTCTAGCCTATATGAGTGCCCTTAGCCAGGCACCTTCTCTCTGAAACAGTAAATTTCCCACAGTTCTCCTTCCTCTAGAGTTTCTTTGTTCCTGGCTTCTGCCCTGAAGGAGGCCGAGCTCAGTTGTGTCAGCCAATCCTTCACAGGCCCATCTGCCTCCTCCCCTCCTGGGCAGATAGCCAAAAGGAGGGGGTTGGGTCTGTAGGGTACAGAGTGGAATCAATTCAGGGTCACAGTATGAACACCAGATCCTTAGAACTTGGCCCCTTTCACATTGTGAGGATGGAGGTGAAGGTTGTGGGCAGGACAGATTTGGGAGTGGGCAAAACTCTGAGGTTAGCAGAGATAAGTCTGAGCCCCACATTCAGAACAAATTAGGGACATCTCTGCTCTTCTAAGAAGACTGGCATATCTAGTAAAATCATTAACAGGAGTTCAGGTGCCAGGGGAATACAGCCAGGCCAGGCCTGGTCACAGACCATCTCCTACGCACTGGACTGTGCTGATGGCATGTTCCATTGTTTAAAAAACTATAAACACAATATTTTTATTAATTTGTTGAGAATTTTATATATGCACAAAATGTGTTTTGATCAGATTCACTTTCTATTCTTCGGCTTAATTCCGTCCAGATCAGCAACTTACCTACAATTTTTTTTTTTTTTTAGTAATTTACTGATTTAAGTGGTGAGATCTTCAATGAAACCTGACTCTTCACCACCATTAGCTGTTAACAGCTCCTTACCTAGGGGCTAGGGCTCACGATCCCTTCCCCAGGGCTGGAAAGTTGTCTATCTTGAGCTTGTGCTGGTCTTGGGTATCCAGCTGCAGCATCCGTGAATTCACTAGAGCAGAGGTCCTGTCATGTCCGGAAGGCATTGTTTGGTCCTATCCTCCCAAACCTCTGACTCTCACAGTCATTTTGTCCCAACTTTTACAAAAATCCTTGAGTCCTGTGGGGCCCGTGTGGGCGTGGTATAGTGTCATTTCCACTCACTGGGAGTCTCTGCGTTAAGTGCTATCCACTGCACAAAGAAACTTCTCTAACAAGGTCTGAGACCTGCATGCAGCCTTTCATGGCACAAAACCGGGAGGCTCCAGGATGCTACTGCCTACCAGCTACACAGTGGCAAAATTCAGTTCCTGCTCTGAAGCAGTCCAGGGTCTGGATAGAGACACTACTCTCTGAAGCAGGAACAAAGAGTACAGCCCAATGATTGAGTCCCCAGGCCAGATGCTCGGAGTCAGCAGCCCAGCTGGGAGAACAAAGGTTGATGTGGATATGAACTCAAACACAGCGAGAGGGAGAAGCCATGTGATCATGAGGTGGAGAGCAGCCCTGAGCAGACGGGTGCAAGCAGAGCATAGCACTGGTCAGAGGACAGCCTTTGGTGTCAGTCTGCACAGGCCACCTTTTCTGAGGGTTGATAGTTGATTTTGCAGCTGTATAATCCAAGCTCAATGGCTTCCAGGGGTTCTCCCATTTCCACCTCCTTTTCTACAAAAGTACTAAGATTACAGATGTGTGCTATTATGCCTAACTTTCTATGGGTTCTGGAGACTTGAACCCAGGTCCTTATGTTTGCACAAGTGTAATACCCTCTAGGGTTGTAGGAACAGGTTTTTTTTTTTGTTTTGTTTTTGCTTATTTGTTTTTTCTAATTAAAGGTGTAAAAGGCAGGGAAGAAACGTTACTGGAGATCTTGGGGAGTTCCTGAAGACTCATTGTATAATAACAAAAGAATTGCTTCCCCTTGGGTTTTTGTTTTGTTTTTGTTTTGTCTCAATAATTAAAATGTTGTTGTTTGGGTGAGAAACATCTCCCATAGTCTAAGACATTTGAATGCTTTGTTGTTGCAGGATATTTGATAAGACTGTGAACCCTGAGATAGTATAATTTACTGGAAAAACCTGTTTATAGTTGTGGTTTGGCTTCCCCCTAGCAAGCACCTTTAATCGAAGAGTTTTGTGCTTGAATATTGTAATCAGGATTAAAATAAAGTCAACCTTAGGTCAAGAAGCAGAGTAAGCAAACAGTTGACAGGAAGTGAACCCAGGATTATTAAGAAAGAGCCATAGAGAGTAACAGGAAGTCAGGAGGATGGATAGACAGATACACAGGAAGTAGAAGGGAGGGAGATTCAGTTTGGAGGAGGTTTTCTGAGATAGTGAGGAAGGAGATTTGCTTCTGGGATGCTGACTGAGGAGAAAGGTCAGCTGGGTACTTTCACCCCAGCATCTGGCTCTTGATTGTTCATTGGCAAAATCAAACGATTGAGGTTTGTTAAAAACAATTTGTCCTCACTTGGTGGCTTCTTTGAGGAGGGTTAGGAGGTGTGGCCTTGCTGGAAGAAGCATGTCACTGGCTTTGAGAATTTAAGGCCTCACCCTATTTGCAGTTTGCTTTTGCTGGTGCTTGTGGTTCAGGATGTGAGCTCTCATTTTCTGCTCCAGCCCCCACGTCCACCTGCCATTATGGTTTCTGTCCCTCTGGAGCCATAACCACAAATAAACTCTTTTATGGGTTGCTATGGGGCAGTAGGCTATGAGAAAACGCCAGAAAGCTTGGTAGAAAGATCTGAAGCTCCGGGAACCTTGGTCTGAAGAAGGCCAGTAGGATGGGAGGCTGCTTCGAACTTTCCCAAAGCCATATGGCTCTCTTAGCTTCCGCTCCCCACAGCCCCTCCCATGGAGAGGTCCATGGCCTTGATCACGTAGGAATAACACCTCCATGCAAATAAGGCATTCCCAAGCTCTCAAACCAAACCAATAGAAGCTACCTGCTCTCCCTGTAAAACTGTATATATATATATCCCCAGAGCTCAAAAGTAAAGGCGTTGTGTGGTGTGAGACCTTCCCGCTGTTGGAGTGCTTTTTCCCGATTCCTCGCCAGTCACCAACTATCCTGCGCATTTCAAAGGACGACAACACTTCTCTCCTCCCCGTGGGCAGAGCTGTAACACTTTTCCTTCTGCAGGCACTCCCGAGCTGCCCTCGGAAAGAGGGAACCAAAAGAGCTGTAACACTTGCCCGCCTTTGGAGGCTGGGGCAGAGGCAGACCCTCCAGTCTGCCTTCCCCCCAACCCCCCCCCAACCCCCCCGTCCTCTCAGGCCCAGCCGTGGAGGCTGCTGTAGCCGCGATTCAAGAGGCTACACCGGCCCTGCCCCTCGTGACTGAAAAGCACACTGTGCTCCAGTTCACAGCCACACTCTCGCTCTTTCCCGGACAGTCTCGGAGCCGGCGCCCCACACCCCACCTGCTCTTGCTGAGCCGAGGTGTCTGGGACGCCCACCGCCCACGCCCTACGAAACCGTGTGAGACCCTGTGCGACAGATTGCTTTGGCCAAGCTGCTTTACCACAGCAACAGAAAAGAGACTAATAAACAGAAAGTCAAGGACAAGAACAGACTCTGGCAGATTAAGGATAATTTGTTAGAGTTTCAAAGAAAAGTCCCAGGGCCCACTAGCTGTCATCCTCAAAGCTGTGTCAAGGAGGAGAGCAGAAAAGCCAAGCCAGCATGAAGGTCAACCATGTGGTAACAGGCAGTCACTCGATGAAGAAGAGAACCTTAGAAAAGGAGTTAGGAAGTCCAGAGTCTTAGGGAGTTTAAAAGGTATAGTTAGACTCTTGCAAGTGTCCAAAAGAAAAAGAAAGATAAAGGGAAAATTACTGACTCAGAAAGGTGAGCAGATCAGATCAACCCCAATAGGGTCTGGGAAGAAAGAGTACATTATCTTAAGGTGACCCTCCCTTCCTACTGCTGGGTGTCTAGCTAGACCCCTGATCCACCCTGTTGGATTAACAAGAAGACAAGGGTATGTCTCCACCTACAACTAGATCACAGTCACTAACCTAGCTATCTCTTCAGCCCTCTTTTCTTGTATGAAAGTATAGATAGCAGCTTGCACAACATTTACTATTCTGTGCTACTATCATTTATATCTTAAAAAGGAAATTAGTGACAATTTTGAAGTTTTGTTTTTTGTTAAACACAGAAATATAAGAATATGTTTTCCTTTTAATCCCAGGTGTGGGATATGGGGCTCCTTTAGATTGTCCACAGCAGCTGACTATGATTTGTTTTGTGCTCTCGCAGGGATGTGATTTTTTCCAGCTGCAGATCATTTCTGCGATTGTGTGATACTTGGAATTCTGGGGGCTTTTTAGACGGTGTATAAGTGCTAGAGCTCTGAGAGGCATGCTGGTTGATTGGTTGTTGTTGGTTGCAGTTTGTTAAGTATTCATGTGCAAAAAAGAAACAACAAAAAGAAATGCCCCTAAGAATTCCACACCCCTAATCGGCAGGAAGTAGTCTAACGATGGCATTGCCCACCTTACAATTCCTAATGCATTCAGGGATCTCTTTCCTCTCTATCCTTTTTTCTCTTATCTAGTGTTAGGGGCTTGATAGGGTGGATGGAAAGGGTGGAGAGTGGTGGAAGAAAGAAGAACTCACAAAGTAGCCAAAGAATGGCTACAGGAAACTGTTACGTGTCATGGTTAACATGCATCAGGACTCCATACGCGTGAGCTTTGAGAATCGGCATCGTTGCCTTCCCTGAGCCTCAAATTCCTAAGGGTGTGATCATACATATGCCCGTGGGTGTGCCTGAGCGCGTCGCCATGTTTGCCCTATTTTAAGTTCCCTAGAAGCAGGTGTAAGAAAAAGAAGTGAAGCTCAAATTCTACTCTTTGGAGGTGACCCTTAGACAAAGTTTTAACTGCCAGGTGTTAAAAGATGATCCTTGGAAACTAGCAACACAGTGGGAATATGATGGGAAGGGGAGGCAGGAAGGGGGAGTTAAAGGCATGTGTTGAAGTTTGTACAGTGTCCACCTGGGCTCAGACACACTGTGGGTCTCTGGAAGACAAATGGTACTAAGTACGTGCCTCATGTCACCTCTGGAGCTGGGATAGTTACTTACCCATGGCCATCCTTCAGGACTGAAAATTGCTCCCAAGGGCTGGCTATGTTTGGGGTGTGTGGCCTGCACTGTACAGGTCAGGTCTAAGAACAGGGTCAGGTAGCTCTATGAGAATCCCCAGTGATTGTAACACACACAGACACATACAGACACACACACA